GGATAGAAGGCTGTGTGTGCATTTGTGCGAACATACATGTGTGTGCATGTGTATGTGTTTGAGTCACTTCATAAGTACACACTGTCTTCGTGTGTTTAAATCACTCTCTCAGTCCTAAAAACCTCTTTGTCCTGTTCCTACCCTTATTTGGCAGCTATGTTACTGTATATTTGTTTACTGTCAGTTTTGTCTGACCTAAGCACCTTTGTGTGCACTTACTATTGTGAATTGAGACACTTATGCAGCATATGGGAATCTTTATTCAGGAAACGTTTCGCCACACAGTGGCTTCATCAGTCCAATACAAAGAGGAAGGCGTAAGGAGAGGAGGAGTATGAGGTAATCAGTCCCTCAGCCTGGAGTCGATGGACTGAACACATCGACTCCAGGCTGAGGGACTGATTACCTCATACTCCTCTCCTTACGCCTTCCTCTTTGTATTGGACTGATGAAGCCACTGTGTGGCGAAACGTTTCCTGAATAAAGATTCCCATATGCTGCATAAGTGTCTCAATTTTCAACTTGTCGGTTTTTCAAACCATTCATCACACTTACTATTGTGTGTGTCAGCCTACATGTGGTGACCAAAACTTTCCTACTGAGCTTTTTGTCCTTGCTAAATGTTAAGTGATCTATGTATGATATTCAGCTCTCCAGAGAATGGATTGTAACCCCCAAGTACCAGTGATGCAGGGCCAAATGCTAATCATTCAATATGCAATCACAAAAAGGTGATTTGTACATCATGTCTGGTAGAGGTGTCGTCTGGGATCCTGGCTCAGTTGCGGTTGCACAATGATTCTTGTATTAACATTACTTCTGGCGCCCTAGTTCTCTTTCAGTTTCTTCGTGTCTATAAATATTCTATTCACATTAACTGTGTTTCAATTACCACTCTAGGTTTGCACTATAGTATCAGGTGAACAATTTAAACTTTTATTATCCACACCAGGAGGCCTGGTCACAGACCGGGCCGCGGGGGCGTTGACCCCCGAAACTCTCTCCAGGTAAACTTCAGGAAAACTCCAGTTCTGAGAACACTGGATATTTTCCCTTTGATTTTCTCTTTTCTTTCCCCTCGCTTTGTAACTGTTACATTATTTCTTAACTGATCTATCACTATTCCCCTCACTTTATGATTGTCTTATTATTCACTATGGCATCTATCCTTATCCCTTATCACACTGGCTTGGGTCACACTTGGTCTCTTTCAATTTATAGTCACTGGCTTCAGGCAACACCTACACCCGACACTTTCCCTCCAGCATCTCTCTCCTGGCACTGATTAAGCTTTCAATTTTTTTTATAAATTGTAGTCCTCACCTCACTTTTCCGATTTAGTATAGCTTGTAATTCACTACTCGGGTTGTTCACTGACACTGACAACATAATGTCACTGACACTGACAACATAATGTCACTGACACTGACAACATAATGTGGGCCAAAAACCACTAAAGATTCACGAGCACTTTATGATGCTGTTACACCCGGCGATGTGTGTACTCACCTAGTTGTGGTTGCATGAGTCGATGCACAGCTTCTGGCCCCGTCTCTTCACTGATTGCCATTATGTCACTCTTCCTGCTCCATAAGCTTTATCATACCTCTTCTTAAAGCTATATAAGAATCTTGCCTCCACTACATCACTTCCCAGGCTATTCTACTTCCTGACAATTCAGTGACTGAAGAAATATATATCAACATCTCTGTGACTCATCTGAGTCTTCAACTACTAATTGTGACCATTTGTTGCTGTGTCCCATCTCTGGAACATCCTGTTTCTGCACACCTTGTCAATTCCTCTCACTATTTTCTCAGTATTTTATATGTCGTTATCATATCCCCTCTATCTCTCCTGTCCTCAACTGTCATCAGGTTGATTTCCCTAAACCTCTCCTTGAAGGACATGCCCCTTAGCTCTGGGACTAATCTTGTTGCAAACCTTTGCACTTTTTTTTAATTTCTTTACATGCTTGCTTAGGTGTGGGTTCCAAACTGGTGTTGCATACTTCAATACAGGCTTGACATACACGGTGTACACGGTCCTGACCGATTTCTGACTGAGATGTCGGAATGACAGTCTTAGATTTGCTAGGCGCCCATATGCTACAGCAGTTATTTGGTTGCTGTGCACCTCAGATGTGCCCAGTATTATACTCATCCCAAGACCCTTTTCCTTGAGTGAGGTTTGTAGTCTCTGGCCCCCTAGACTGTACTCCGTCTGAGGTCTTCTTTGCCATTCCCCAATCTTCATAACTTTACACTTGGTAGGGTTGAACTCGACGAGCCAATTTTTGGACCAGGCCTGGATCCTCTCCAGATCCCTTTGTATTTCTGGCTGGTCCTCGTCTGATTGAATTCTTCTCATCAACTTCACATCATCTTCAAACAAGGACAACTCTGAGTCTATTTCTTCCTTCATGTCGTTACATTTACCAGAAACAGCATCGGTCCTAGTACTAACACCTGTGGAATCCCGCTAGTCACAGGCACCCACACTGACACCTCATCATGTACCATGACTCGCCGTTCCATTGCAGTGCCTTCCCTGGTATGCCTGCCTGGTCCTCCAACTTATGCACTAATCTCTTGTGTGGAACCCTGTCAAAAGCCTTCTTTCAGTACAAGAAAATGCAATCTACCGACCCCTCTCTCTCTCATGTCTTACTGCTGTCACCCTGTCATGGAACTCCAGTAGGTACGTGACACAGTATTTCCAATCCTTGAAACCATACTGGTTGTTAAACCATTCCACGGGTGGGGTTAGAACCCGCGATCAGAGAGTCTTAAAACTCCAGACCTTCGCGTTAGCCACTGGGCCAGCTGGCCACAATAAAATTCATCCAACTAGGTATATATATTTCTACACCATAGGAAGGTTAGCATAGGCACCACTGTGACCCCAAATGCAAGTTTTTACAGACGAATCTCCCGCTAGCACGGCCGTGACGAACTCTAGCTCAAGTCCCCTAAAATCTGTCAACATGACTCACAAAACTGCATTTGTGGTCACAGTGGTGCTTATGCTAACCTTCTTATGGTGTAGAAATATACCTAGTTGGATGAATCTTATTGAAGTTAGCTGGTCCAGTAGCTAACGTGACGGTCTGGAGTTTAAAGACTCTCTGATCGTGAGTTCTAACCGCACCCGTGGTATGGTTTGTTTACAATCGTGTCATTACGATTTCGTTAATCATGCTGGTTGTTGTTGATAAGCTCATTCTTTTCCTGATAATCTACTCCATGACTTTGCATACTATTCATGTCAGTGACACTGGTCTGTACTTGAATGCTTCGTGTCTGTCTCCTTTTAAAAAATTGGGACTACGTTTGCTGTCTTCCATACCTCAGGTGGTCAGTCTCTTTCGATAGATGTGTTGAAGATTGTTGTTAATGGCACACATAGCGCCTCTGCTCCCTCTTTTAAGACCCATGGAGAGATGTTATCCGGCCCCATCGCCCCATCGGCTTGCTTAGTAGCCTCTTCACTTCTTCCTCGGTTGTATGTATTGTGTCAACACTTGATGGTGTACCCCACCCCATTCCGGACACCCTTCTGTCTCCTCTGTGAACACTTCTTTGAATTTCATATTGAGCTCCTCACACACTTCTCGGTCGTTTCATGTGATCTCCCGTCCTTCCTTCCTTAGCCTGATTACCTGGTTCTTCACTGTTGTTGTCCTCCTGATGTGGCTGTACAACAACTTCGGGTCAGATTTGGCTTTCGCACCTATGTCATTTTCATATTGTTGTTGGGTCTCCCTTCTCACATGTGCATATTCATTTTTGACTCTACGACTGCTCTCCTTATTCTCCTGGGCTCTATGCCTTCTATACTTCTAGCATTCTCTAGCACATTTGCTTTTGAACTCTCTACACCTTTGAGTGAACTTAAGGCTCATCCTGGCTGTCTCGTTATTTCTGTTGCCTTTGTGTGTGTGTGTGTGTGTGTGTGTGTGTGTGTGTATGTGTACTCACCTAGTTGTACTCACCTAGTTGAGGTTGCATGGGTCGAGTCCTAGCTCCTGGCTTCGCCTCTTCACTGGTCGCTACTAGGTCACTCTCCCTGAACCGTGAGCTTTATCATACTTCTGCTTAAAGCTATGTATGGATCCTGCCTCCACTACATCGCTTGCCAAACTATTCCACTTCCTGACTATTCTGTGGCTGAAGAAATACTTCCTAACATCCCTGTGATTCATCTGTGTGTGTGTGTGTGTGTGTGTGTGTGTGTGTGTGTGTGTGTGTGTGTGTGTGTGTGTGTGTGTGTGTGTGTGTGATGCCCCGTGGCCTAGTGGCAAAAGCTCTCGCTTCACATGGTAAAGGTCCGGGCTCGATTCCCGGTAAAGGGGTGTAAACATTGGACATGTTTCCGTACATAGGTTATCTATGTCCACCATCAGTAAAATGGGTACCTGGGTGTTAGTGGACTGGTGTGGGTCGCATCCTGGGACAAAACTGACCTTTAAATTTTTCCCAAATGCTCAGCATAACAAGCGGCTTTCTATATAGTAGTATGTCATTGATGTCAGCTATGGTCTGTATACCTTGTACATGTATGGTAGTAAAAAAAGATATTATTATTATTATTATTATTATTTTTTTTTATTATTATTTTTTATGAAACGCGTGCTTGTGTGCACGTGTACGTGCGTTCGAGTGTACTCATAATTGTGGTTGCAGGTGTCAATACTCAGCTCCTGGTCCCGCCTGTGTTTTGGGTATGTGTGCGCGGTTGTGTATATATTTATTTTAAGTTTGTAGTGTAGGGGGTAGGAATGCTTCGGTTAAAAGGTTTTAAATGAGCTGTGATATCAACACACTTCATGAAAGCCAATGATTGTATGAATAAAATGAGTGTTTTTATTTTAGTCAACTACCTTATGAGAGACAACCTGACTTCTAGTTAGTTTATATTAATTTTACTAATTTCTAGCCAGTTTATACCCGAGGTTTTACACTAGAGGCATCTGGCAGCACTGGAGGGTTGGCCTTGGGTTAGTCTGACACAAGCACCGTGAGTGTGAGTATGTCGCTCTCTACAGTGATGAGACCTTGGCTTCTCAGAAAACTCTTTACTGATCTTGGACAAAAATGGCTTTCTTCACCACTGAAATCATTTAGAAGGTAAAAAAAATAATTATTTGGTTCCTTACACACACACAGAGTGGGCACCTGTAACTTGCGGGCTTCCACAGGAGTCAGTCTTAGGACCGGTGCTGTTTCTGGTATATGTGAACATGACGGAAGGAGTAGACTCCGAAATGTCCCTGTTTGCAGATAATGTGAAGCTGATGAGAAGAATTCAATCGGATAAGGACCACGCAGAATTACAAAGGGATCTGGAGAGGCTGCAGCCATGGTCCAGCAACTGGCTCCTGGAGTTCAACTCCACCAAATGCAAAGTCATGAAGATTGGGGAAGGGCAAAGAAGACCGCATACGGAGTACACACTAGGGGGCCAGAGACATCAAACCTCATTCAAGGAAAACAATCTTGGGATGAGTATAACACCGGGCACATCTTCGGAGACCCACATCAACCAAATAACTGCTGCTGCATATGGGCGCCTAGCAAGCCTAAGAACAGCATTCCGACATCTTAATAAGGACTCATTCAAGACACTGTACACTGTGTACGTTAGGCCCATATTGGGGTATGCAGCACCAGTTTAGAACCCGCACCTAGCCAAGCATGTAAGGAAGCTAGAGAAAGTGAAAAAATTTGCAACAAGATTAGTCCCGGAGCTAAGGGTTATGTCCTACGAGGAAAGATTAAAGGAGATTGACCTGACGACACTGGAGAACAGGAGAGATAGGGGGATAGGATAACTTACAAAATACTGAGAGGAATCGACAATGTGGACAGACAGGATGTTCAGAAACGGGACACAGCAAAAGGGGACACAGCAACAAGGGGACACAGCAACAAGGGGGCACAGCAACAAGGGGGCACAGCAACAAGGGGGCACAGATGGAAGCTGAAGTCTCAGATGAATCACAGGGACTTTAGGAAGTATTTCTTCAGTTACAGAGTTGTCAGGAAGTGGAACAGTCAGGGAAGTGATGTACTGGAGGCAGGATCCATACATAGCTTTAAGAAGAGGTATGATAAAGCTCAAGGAGCAGGAAGAGTGACCAGTAGCGGCCAGTGAAGAGGCAGGGCCAGGAGCTATGACTCGACCCCCTGCAACCACAACTAGGTGAGTACACACACACACACACCACACACACACACACACACACACACACATATATATAATACTATATATATATATATATATATATATATATATATATATATATATATATATATATATATATATATATATATATATATATATATATATATATATATATATATATATATATATATATATTATATATATATATATGTCGTGCCGAATAGGCAGAACTTGCGATCTTGGCTTAAATAGCAACGTCATCTTGCCATATAGGACAAGTGAAAAATTGTGTATGCAATAATTTCGCCAAAATCATTCTGAACCTAACGAAAAAAAATATATTTCACTGTGTTTGTTTAGTATTAATTACTGTAAACGTATTTAAAATATATTTAGTTGGGTTAGGCTAAAATAAATTGTTCTTGTTATAATAAGGTTAGGTAAGTTTTCTAAGATTCTTTTGGTGCAAAATTAAAAATTTTTACATTAACATTAATGAAAAAAAAATATATCTTTAAACGTATAAGAGAAAATTTCAGAAAGGACTTAATTTAAAATGAGTTCTTGCTAATTGACCAGTTTTACATATTCGGCACGACATATATATATTATATATATTATATTATATATATATATATATATATATATATATATATATATATATATATATATATACATATATATATGTAGGATGGGGTCCACCTCTGATGGAAATTGTGGGACCCACAGCCTCGGAGAAGTGGATAAAAAGGCATCAAGGAAGAATATTTGGATTCCTTCCTGAAGCCATTTGAATATTCCACTTCCCTACCACCCCATCTTTTCATTTTTTTTTTTACCAGTAGGTATATTTTATTAGAATATAGCATTAGAATCTTGTCCAGTTCTAATGCTATATTTATGTTGTTTTAATCTTATTTCGAGACTTTTACCAGTTTGACCGTAATAAACTTTATCGCAAATTTTACAAGGAATCTTATAGACACATCCATCAGCATTTTGGGGGGAATTCTTTATCAAAAGTTTTTTTTACTGTATCAAGATTTTTAAATACAACTTTGATATTAAAAGTCTTAAGAAGAGAAGGCATATCAACCAAGTTTTCATGGTAAGGGAGAACCAACATATTTTTAGTTGAATAAGGCTGGTTGTCCCTTTTTGGATTGTAAAAAGTATTTCTAGCAACTTTAAAAGATTTATCAATTACATTTCTTGGGTATTTCAGATCATTAACTATTTCATAAATTTTGGATATTTCCTCATCTATGAACTCAGGACTACAAATTCGTAAAGATCTCAAAAACATTGATGAGAAAACCGGCAGTTTAACTCTATCTTGATGTGAAGAATAATAGTGTACATAGGAACAGTTATTTGTAGGTTTTCCTTTAAAATTGCTAGAAATACTTTTTACAATCCAATAAGGGACAACCAGCCTTATTCAACTAAAAATATGTTGGTTCTCCCTTACCATGAAAACTTGGTTGATATGCCTTCTCTTCTTAAGACTTTTAATATCAAAGTTGTATTTAAAAATCTTGATACAGTAAAAAAAACTTTTGATAAAGAATTCCCCCCAAAATGCTGATGGATGTGTCTATAAGATTCCTTGTAAAATTTGCGATAAAGTTTATTACGGTCAAACTGGTAAAAATCTCGAACTAAGATTAAAACAACATAAATATAGCATTAGAACTGGACAAGATTCCAATGCTCTATTTATTCATGTAAGAGATTTTAACCATCCAATTGATTTTCAAAAGACTAAGAAAGTTGTATCAAGCAAGTCCAGAGTTGACAGAAATAAAATTGAATCTTGTTTCATAAAAAGCAGTTTCGACAACAATATGAATATTTCTTTTGGTTTATATAAATTGGATTCATTTATAATTAATAAAACTTTGAAAGAACTTAATGATACATTAGACAAGTAAAAAAATTTAATACTTTGTTGGAGTATCAGGTGCGCTTCACAGAGTCGGGTGCTGTCACGCGACTGTGAGGTACAGTCTTTGTTATGGTGACGTGATTGTGAGGTGTAGTCTTGCCCCTTCATATCCCTTCATGATGTTTTGTATTTTATAGTTCCTTGATAATGGAAGAAGTCACGAAATCGCTTGGAATTTCGCTATTTTTTCATAGTGGTTGTTTAGCATATTGTGATGTCACCTATTTACTGTGATCTTATTATATATTATATTATAATATATATATATATATATATATATATATATATATATATATATATATATATATATATATATATATAAATATATATATTATTTTATTATCTCACTGTCCGATTCCCACCAAGGCAGGGTGGCCCGAAAAGAAAAACTTTCACCATCATTCACTCCATCACTGTCTTGCCAGAAGGGTTCTTTACACTACAGTTTTTAAACTGCAACATTCTATATATATATATATATATATATATATATTATATATATATATATATATATATATATATATATATATATATATATATGCAATAGCCGGGGGATCGAACCCGTGTTGTTTTAGCCCGCCTCACGGTGAGCGAAAATTCAGGACGCTCTAACCCACTAGACCATACAATCACCAAATAGGAAGTAGAATGAAATTAGCTCTGAGGCACCCACACCATCGCATGTCCTCACAACTTGAAGCAAGTCTAGTTCGCTATGCTCAAGTGTTTGTAGGACTGTATGGTCCAGTGGGTTAGAGCGTCGTGAATTTTCGCTCACTATGAGGCGGGCTAAAACAACATGGGTTCGATCCCCCGGCTAGTCGCAGTGTTGTTATTGATTAAAAATTGATTAAATACCACTTGGCATGGAAATGCCAAAACATAAGAATATAAGAAAGGAGGAACATTGCAGCAGGCCTGTTAGGCTCATACTAGGCAGGTCCTTCAACATATATATATATATATATATATATATATATATATATTATATATATATATAAATATATATATATTATATATTTATGGTGTATGGTAGAGTTATTATTGAAAGAATTAAAAGTAAGACTGAGAATAGGATAGCAGATGAACAAGGAGGCTTTAGGAAAGGTAGGGGGTGTGTGGCCAGGTGTTTACAGTGAAAACATATAAGTGAACAGTATTTAGATAAGGCTAAAGAGGTCTTTGTGGCATTTATGAATTTGGAAAAGGCGTATGACAGGGTGGATAGGGGAGCAATGTGGCAGATGTTGCAAGTGTATGGTGTAGGAGGTAGGTTACTGAAAGCAGTGAAGAGTTTTTACGAGGATAGTGAGGCTCAAGTTAGAGTATGTAGGAAAGAGGGAAATTATTTCCCAGTAAAAGTAGGCCTTAGACAGGGATGTGTGATGTCACCGTGGTTGTTTAATATATTTATAGATGGGGTTGTAAGAGAAGTAAATGCGAGGGTCTTGACAAGAGGCGTGGAGTTAAAAGATAAGGAATCACACATAAAGTGGGAGTTGTCACAGTTGCTCTTTGCTGATGACACTGTGCTCTTGGGAGATTCTGAAGAGAAGTTGCAGAGATTGGTGGATGAATTTGGTAGGGTGTGCAAAAGAAGAAAATTAAAAGTGAATACAGGAAAGAGTAAGGTTATGAGGATAAAAATATTAGGTGATGAAGATTGGATATCAGATTGGAGGGAGAGTGTATGGAGGAGGTGAATGTATTCAGATATTTGGGAGTGGACGTGTCAGCGGGATGGGTCTATGAAGGATGAGGTTGAATCATAGAATTGATGAGGGGAAAATGGTGAGTGGTGCACTTAGGAGTCTGTGGAGACAAAGAACTTTTGTCCTTGGAGGCAAAGAGGGGAATGTATGAGAGTATAGTTTTACCAACACTCTTTAAGGGTGTGAAGCATGGGTGATGGAATGTTGCAGCGAGAGAGGCTGGAAGGAGTTGAGATGTCATGTCTGTAGGGCAATGTGTGGGTTGTGAATAAATGCCAGGAAA